AAATGTGGACATCATGCTATGATCTCACATGTGTGTATGATGAGTGTATACACACATGTGTGTATATATGTATATATATACACATATACAGACCACATATGGTAACCAGCGTGGACCCCAAACTGTGTCTTTCGAGCAGTACACGTTAAGCACACTATGTGGGACAATCTATGTGGTGCAACTAATTTCTGTTCGCAGTGAATTGTCCACTCCACTGCTCGCGCAAACATCCCACCCACCCACCCGCAACTTGGTTTGCAAAATCTCTTAAGACCGTGACGGTGGGTACCACATGGCACTTGGCAACAACAGCGACGCCGACGACGACAGCGACAACGACGATGACGACGCCGCCGACAACGACTACGACGACACCGACGACGTCTCCAACGACTTTCGACGACGCCGACAAGACGACGACGACGACGACGACGACACCGACGACGACGACGACACCGACGCCGACGACGACGACGATGACAACGACGACGACGATGACGACGCCGACGACGACGATAACGACGACACCGACGACGACGACGACGTCAACGACGCCGACGACGACGACGACGACGACGGCGGCGACGACGACGACGCCGACGTCGACGACGACGAAGACGACAACGACGCCGACGCCGACGACGACGAAGACGACGACGACGTCGCCAACGAAGACAACGAGGAAGGAGGGAGGACGACGACGGCGACAACAACGGCAACGACGAGGGAGGAGGGAGGACGGCGACGACGCGAACGACGAAGAAGGAGGAAGGACGGTGACGCCGACGACGGCAACGACGAGGGAGGAGGGAACACGACGACGACGACGACAACGACGACGACGACGACGACGACGGCGACGAAATAGGAGGGACGACGACGGGACGCCGACGACGGACGACGACGACGACGAGGGAGGAGGAGGAAGGACGACCACGGCGACAACGACGACGGAAACGACCACGACGCCAAAGAGGACGACGACGACGAACACGAGGAAAGACAGAGGACGACGTAGGCGACGACGACGACAACGACGCGGGAGGAGGGAGGACGGCGACGACGACGACGACGACGCAAGAACGCGCGCGCACGCTTTTGTTGAAAATCCGTGTTGCGAAACCTTGTGTTTTTGTAGGTTTTTTGGGCACACGATTTTGAAATCCTTCCGAAACCGATGGGTTTTGAAGGTTTTCGGCATACGCGCGCGACGACGCGCGCGTCTGCACTTCGTCGCATTTGTTGCAAAGGATTCTCGCGACGGCACACGCGCAAGGGTGTTCGACAGATTTCGACAGGAGCGCGCGCGAAGCCCGTCTGGTAGCATTTTGTGAAAATCTTGAAAAACCTATGACGGTTTTCTTAAGATTTCGCAAGAGCTTCCGCGGAAGCTTTTATAGCAACTCTGTGTTGCGTCGGTGTTGCGAAACCCTGTGTTGTTGTATGTTTGTTGGGAACTCGATTGCGAAATCCTTCCCGCACCGAAGGTTTTTGAAGGATTTCGGCATGCGCGCGCGACGACGCGCGCGTGTGCACATCGTCCCGTTTTTTGCAAGGGATTCGCGAACAAGTGTTATGTTAGAACAAAAAATGTCACCGCATTTTCGTTTGGAAGGGAACCTCAAGGGGGGACACCGGCCTAGCTCGGATGGTCTGATTTCATATTTAGGACGGACGGGTGTGCAATATATGTATATATATATAGATATGAAATCGTACTATCCCAGGGGGAACCGATGAGTCCGGGAAGGGGTCGAGTCTTTTCTCTTTTTAGAAAGGAGAATCCACTCTGCTGAACTTGAAGTCGTCATCTCCACTGCTCGCGCAAACATCCCACCCACCTGCCCGCAACTTGGTTTGCAAAACCTGTTAAGACCGACTACGACGACACCGACGACAACGACTAGGACAACACCGACGACGTCTCCGACGACTTCGACGACGACAACGACGCCGACGCCGACGACGACGAAGACGACGACGCCAACGAAGGCGACGACGAAGGGAGGAGGAAAGACGACGACGGCGAAAACGACGACAACGACGACAACGACGAGGGAGGAGGGAGGACGGCGACGACGCGAACGACGACGAAGGAGGAAAGACGGCGACGCCGACGACGACAACGACGAGGGAGAAGGGAAGACGACGACGACAACGACGACGACGACGGCGACGAAATAGGAGGGACGACGACGAGACGCCGACGACGGACGACGACGGCGACGAGGGAGGAGGAAGAAGGACGACCACGGCGACAACGACGACGGAAATGACCACGACGCCAAAGAGGACGACGACGACGAACCCGAGAAAAGACAGAGGACGACGTAGGCGACGACGACGACGACGCGGGAGGAGGGAGGACGGCGACGACGACGACGACGACGCAAGAGCGCGCGCGCACGCTTTTGTTGAAAATCCGTGTTGCGAAACCTTGTGTTTTTGTGATTTATGTTGTTTGGAGGGCCGGATTTTGGAAAATCCTTCCGTAAACCGATGGTGGAAGGTTTTCCGGCATACGAGGCGCGACGACGCGCGCGTCTGCACTTCCGATCCCATTTTTCCTTAACAGCGAAGACTGATAGGTTTCTAGCGGTGTCAAAACAGAGCATCTGATGACTCAGAAGGGAGGTCTGGGCGGCATCCGGACAGCGAGGGCCGGGCTCAGGGCCGGGCTCGTTTTAAGCAAACAGTCACACACTTCGTGCTCTTCGACCTCCCAGAACTCCATTCCCGGGCCACATTTTGAATGCCCGGAGCCAAATGTAGGCCACTTCGTGCTCTTCGAGTTCCCAGAACTCCATTCCCGGGCCACATTTTGAATGCCCGGAGCCAACTGTAGGCCACTTCGTGGTCTTCGAGTTCCCAGAACTCCATTCCTGGGCATGATTTTGAATGCCCGGAGCCAACTGTAGGCACTTCGTGGTCTTCGAGTTCCCAGAACTTTATTCCTGGGCATGATTTTGAATGCCCGGAGCCAACTGTTGAGGTGAAGTGAGGCAGGCTGAGGCTGAAGCAGACTGAGGCTGAGGCTGAGGCAGGCTGAGGCTGAGGCTGAAGCAGGCTGATGCTGAGGCAGGCTGAGGATGAGGCTGAGGCTGATGCAGGCTGAGGCTGAGGCAGGCTGAGGCTGAGGCCGAGGCTGAAGGCAGACTGAGGCTGAGGCTGAAGCAGGCTGAGGCTGAGGCTGAGGCAGGCTGAGGCTGAGGCTGAGGCAGGCTGATGCTGAGGCAGGCTGAGGCTGAGGCTGAGGCTGTGGCTGAGGCTGAGGCAAGCTGCGTCTGAGGCAGGCTGAGGCTGAGGCTGATGCAGGCTGAGGCTGAGGCAGGCTGAGGCTGAGGCAGGCTGAGGCTGAGGCTGAGGCCGAGGCAGGCTGAGGCTGAGGCCGAGGCGACCCCCCGCAGGCTGAGGCTGAGGCTGAAGCTGAGGCAGGCTGAGGCTGAGGCAGGCTGAGGCTGAGGCAAACTGCGGCTGAGGCTGAGGCTGAGGCTGAGGCAGGCTGAGGCCTAAGGCTGATGCAGGCTGAGGCTGAGAGGCTGACGCTGAGGCTGAGGCAGGCTGAGGCTGAGGCCGAGGCAGGCGGAGGCTGAGGCCGAGGCAAGCCGAGGCAGGCTGAGGCTGAGGCTGAAGCTGAGGCAGGCTGAGGCTGAGGCTGTGGCTGAGGCTGAGGCAAACTGCGGCTGAGGCAGGCTGAGGCTGAGGCTGATGCAGGCTGTGGCTGAGGCAGGCTGAGGCTGAGGCCGAGGCAGGCTGAGGCTGAGGCCGAGGCAGGTTGAGGCTGAAGCCGAGGCAAGCCGAGGCAGGCTGAGGCTGAGGCTGAGGCTGATGCTGAGGCAGGCTGAGGCTGAGACAGGCTGAGGCTGAGGCTGAGGCAGGCTGAGGCTGAGGCAGGCTGAGGCTGAGGCCGAGGCAGGCTGAGGCTGAGGCAGGCTGAGGCTGAGGCTGATGCAGGCTGAGGCTGAGGCTGAGGCCGAGGCAGGCTGAGGCTGAGGCTGAGGCCGAGGCAAGCCGAGGCAGGCTGAGGCTACGACCGCGAGAACAGCATAATTTTACAACTGGATCACAAGCCGGCCGCTCTGCGGTTGATCGGGAGTTTCTGTATATAGAAGAAGGTGCGTGCGCTTGTTGGCGAGGGTGATGATGAGGTTCCTCCTCCTCCTCCTCCTCCTCCTCCTCCTCCTCCTCCTCCTCCTCCTCCTCCTCCATCCTTCTCTTGCCTCCGTCTGTCCTCCTCCACCCCACAGCTCCATCATCTTCTCCTCCTCCTCCTCCTCCTCCTCCTCCTCCTAATTCCTCCTCTGGGCACCTCCCCCGGGGCGCGGATCCACCGGATCTGTCCGGATCTGTCCGGAAACGGTGCCGGAGGCCGCTCTGGGCTCCTCTGGGCACCTCCCCCGGGGCCGGTTTTGTGAGGATGTCTCAAGCGTGGGCGCCGGTTTGGGATTCGTCACCGGATCCAGCGGATCCAGCGGATCCACCGGATCTGTCCGGAAACGGTGCCGGAGGCCGCTCTGGGCTCCATGGGCACCTCCCCCGGGGCCGGTTTGGGATTCGTCGGCGGATCCACCGGATCCAGCGGATCTGTCCGGAAACGGTGCCGGAGGCCGCTCTGGGCTCCTCTGGGCACCTCCCCCGGGGCCGGTTTTGTGAGGATGTCTCAAGCGAGGGCGCCGGTTTGGGATTCGTCGGCGGATCCACCGGATCCACCAGATCTGTCCGGAAACGGTGCCGGAGGCCGCTCTGGGCTCCTCTGGGCACCTCCCCCGGGGCCGGTTTTGTGAGGATGTCTCAAGCGAGGGCGCCGGTTTGGGATTCGTCGGCGGATCCACCGGATCTGTCCGGAAACGGTGCCGGAGGCCGCTCTGGGCTACTCTGGGCACCTCCCCCGGGGCCGGTTTTGTGAGGATGTCTCAAGCGAGGGCGCCGGTTTGGGTTTCGTCGGCGGATCCACCGGATCCACCGGATCTGCCCGGAAACGGTGCAGGAGGCCGCTCTGGGCTCCTCTGGGCACCTCCCCCGGGGCCGGTTTTGTGAGGATGTCTCAAGCGAGGGCTCCGGTTTGGGATTCGTCACCGGATCCAGCGGATCCAGCGGATCCAGCGGATCTGTCCGGAAACGGTGCCGGAGGCCGCTCTGGGCTCCTCTGGGCACCTCCCCCGGGGCCGGTTTTGTGAGGATGTCTCAAGCGAGGGCGCCGGTTTGGGATTCGTCACCGGATCCAGCGGATCCACCGGATCTGTCCGGAAACGGTGCCGGAGGCCGCTCTGGGCTCCTGTGGGCACCTCCCCCGGGGCCGGTTTTGTGAGGATGTCTCAAGCGAGGGCGCCGGTTTGGGATTCGTCGGCGGATCCAGCGGATCCACCGGATCTGTCCGGAAACGGTGCCGGAGGCCGCTCTGGGCTCCTCTGGGCACCTCCCCCGGGGCCGGTTTTGTGAGGATGTCTCAAGCGAGGGCGCCGGTTTGGGATTCGTCGGCGGATCCACCGGATCCACCGGATCCACCGGATCTGTCCGGAAACGGTGCCGGAGGCCGCTCTGGGCTCCTCTGCTCCCCGCGCCGGGGGTGAGGATGACGGTAGTTCCACAGAAACTCCCTCAAATCACCTAAATCTTAAGGGGAATGCTTCCAGGTATGCTTCTACACATCGCTGTTAGGTTGCTTTGCCGGGATAATTTGCAAAGGGTTCTCGCGACGGCACTCGCGCAAGGGCGTTCGACAGATTTCGACATGCGCGCGCGCGAAGCCCGCTTGGTAGCATTTTGTGAAAATCTTGAAAACCTTTGGTATTCTTAAGATTTCGCAAAAGCTCGCGCGGAAGCTTTTCAAGCACATCAGTGTTGCGATGTATGTTTGTTGGAAACTCGATTGCGAACTCCTTCCGGCACCGAAGGTTTTTGGAGGATTTCGGCATGCGCGCGCGACGACGCGCGCGTGTGCACTTCGTCCCGTTTTTTTTGCAAGGGGTTCGCGAATAAGTGTTATGTTAGAACAACAAATGTCACCGGATAGTTATATATATATATATACACATATGTATATGTATATATATATATATATCAGAACAAGGGGACCTCAGGGGGGAACCCTGTTTGGCTGGGATGATTTGGACGAGTGTGCAGAACATACATATATATACATATGTATATATATACATATATATATATATATATATATATATTTGTATACATACATACATATATATATATTTGTATATATACAGATATATATATATGTATGAAATCATACTATCCCAGGGGGTACCGATAAGTCCAGGGGGGGGTCGAGTCTATAAAATCTTGGGATATTCTGATCCTGCGCTGGCACGATCATCCCACCCACCCACCCGCAACTTGGTTTGCAAAAGCCACGCGGCGGCGATTGCGATGAGTGCTTGGTGTCGGCTGGTATTTCTCTGCGGCCGCGCAAGCCCCCGCACATGCTCGCGCGCACGGCGGCCAGCTAGTTTGGCGCGACCGACGCGGCCGCGGTGGCGCTGACCGTGGGCACTTCCCGCAGGGCGGCACCTCACTGCGAGTCGGTGACTTGGGCGGGCGCGGTATCATGGCGAGGTCGACAAGGGTCGACACGATCATGATAGCAGCGATGGTGGTGACGAGGATGACGATGACGACGGCAAAGCCATTGACGGCGCCGATGCTGATCACGCCGATGACGATGACGATGTATTCGAGTCGGTGATGAAGGTCTTGGAAGGAGTTCGAAAAGCGCGCGCGGCCGACGCACGCGAGTGGCCCGCATGGTGTTATCTGACAAGGATCGTGCCCCACCAGCACACGCGCGAATGCGTTTTCGACATGAGGCGCGTGAGGCCCGTTAGGTCGCATTTGACGAGGGACTGTTGAGAGACATGGATTTATCCTCTTCCTCGTCGTGCTCTTCCTGCTCTCCGTGGACTACTTCTACATGCTCAATGTGCACCTCTGGCACGCGCGTGAAGGACTTCACCTTCTGACCGCGGTTCTTTATTTTCCACCTTCCTCCTGTGCCCGGCTCATTGCGTGCCGCAATTCGTTTCCGGAACGCCCCTCCCGATGCTTGACTGGCACCTGCCTCGTTGGTGTCCGCCGGAAAAAAATGTTCGGCTTATACCTCTTTTTGTAGTGTCATGGCTTCGCGAAACCATCGGGAAAACCCTCGGGACAACCATCGCGACAACCATAAGGACAACAATCGAGACAACCATCAAGACAACCGTCAGGACAACCATCGGGACACCCAGCGGGGCAACGGTCAGGACAACCGTTGGGACAACCGTCGGGATAACCATCGGGACAACCATCAAGACAACCATCGGGACAACCATCGGGACATCCATCGGGGCAACCGTCGAGACAACCGTCGGGATAACAATCGAGACAGCCATCGCGGTAATCATCGTAACAACCATCGGGACAACCATCGAGATGACCATCGAGACAACCGTCTGCACAACCATGAAGACAATCATCGGAACATCCATCGGGGCAACCAGCGGGACAACCATCAAAACAAGAGTCGGGACAACCATCGGGACACGCATCGGGACAACCACCGGGACAGCCACCTAGACAACCACGACCCAACGGCTGGGCCGATTCGACTTAATTTGGCCATTTCGCCTCTCCCAGGGCAGGGACTGACGCAGCTTCAACTCGCCTCGCCCGCACACAACGCACGTCACGAACGACATGAGCCCAAACTGAAATCGGTGCCCCGGTTGGGCGACTCAAATTCACTTCGATCTCGCCCCTCAAACTCTGACATTCTTTCTTGTTTTTCTTTGTAAAAAAAATTGTGCTCTCCAAAGTGTTTTCGAGCAGCTGCGCCTCGTGCAAGGATTTCGGGGGACCCGGGAATCGTCCCGAATGGCCACCTGAGGCCCAAATTATGATCCGCGAACCAATCATCGTCGCCGACGCCGTCTTTGAGGATGGTGATGAGACGGAGCTTCTCCTCCTTATCCCTGCTCCTCTCCCTGCTTCTGCTGTTCCTCCTACTCAGGGTGACATTGCATGCGAGGAAGCACACGGACATTTGTTCACATCAAACCCTAATGTGAGTGAGTGTGTGTGTGTGTGCTTGTTGCACGCGTCAATCGCCTTCCGCCCTGACCATCCATCAGAATATGCTCGGTGGTAATCACTCTTGGCGCGTCCTGCCATTGCACTCGCTGCGTTGGATGCACTGGCCGGGGGATTGCAGTGTGAGAGACAAAGGGAGAGAGAGAGAGAGAGTGCATCTGAAGAGGTGGAGGAATACTTCGTTTTGACATCCGCGGCAGAATACCGCAATCTATTGGGGCAACACTTGCAACACTTGAGGGAGGTCGATTGTAAGCACGGCCCGCTTTGGGTGAACGCCGTGTCCGAACTTCTTCCAACGAGCGCCGAGGAAGAGGGGGATGCAGAGGAGGGAGGAGGAGGGACAGAGGAGGACGAGGAATAGGAGGGAGGAACGTCGACCGACCAGTTGATCGAACATCTTGCAGAACGGCTGCGTTCACTCCAGAAGCTGCCGATATGAAAATATGCATGCGGAGAACGTGGATGAGGTGTAGGAGAAACGGCTGCAGAGGGAGAAGACACATGAATATGTTCGCCATGATGATGAGTGTGCTGGTGATGGTACGGGTGAAGAAGAGCATAGAGAGGAGGAGGAGCAGGAGGAGGAGGAGGAGGATAAGAAGGAGAAGCAGGAGGAAGAGGAGGAGGAAGAGGAGGAGGAGGAGGAGGAGGAGGAGGAGGAGGAGGAGCGGAGGAGGAGAAGGAGTGAGAGGAACATGAGGGGTATGGAGAGGAGGCAGGATGGGAGGAGCACGATGAGGAGAACGGCGAGGAACAATCAGAGTGAGGAAGAGGGCCGAGCAGCCCAAGTGTCGATTCGGGCCAGGCGCTGCGCTGCTCGGCCGCGGACGGCCGTGCGACAGGCGGCCGCCTGGCGGATGAGCTCGTCGAAGCACTGGGAGTAGAGCTCCTCGCGGACCGGGCATATGCCGGTCTCGCGGGCCTGGCGCAGGGGCATCGGGAAAGACGAGCCCTCGATCCCCGACTTTGGGAGGCCTCCCGGATGGGTCCGAGAAGATGGAGTCGTAGGGCCCTCAATCCCCGACTTTGGGAGGCCTCCCAGGTGGGTCCGAGAAGATGGAGCTGTAGGGTCGTGCCCCATCGCCGATGCATCGGCGATGCATCCGCGACGTCGGAGATGCATCGGCGACATCGGCGTGGGAAGAACCGGGCTCCACGTTGAGCCACATCGCCGATGCATCGCAAAATCCAGCACGATCCTGCGACCCCGTCGAACTCGGACTTTCCTTGGGCGGACCAGAACTTTTCCGCCCCCGAGTCGATGATGCCATATCGTTCTTTCCCGACATCATAATGGGGTAATGCCAAGGGGGGTCTCCACTGGGATGGTCGCCACTTCCTTCCTCGAAGAAGCGTCATTTCTTAGAGGAAGTGGGCCCCACGACCACTCCAGAGCCTTCCGAAACGACCCCAAACGTCCCAAAACCTCGCGCCTCGATCCTGGAACCTTGATGTCCACGAGGAATTAATGACCATCCCAGTGGTGACCCCACTTTACGGGAACAAGCAGTGACATGAGCATCAGGTCCGCGCGGATCTCTCGGATCGGCGCTGGTCGCCCCTCCCTGGGGCGGCGCCGGAGGCGCCGCCAGGGGGCCCCAGCGCCGATCCGAGGCATCTCCTCTGCTTACGACAGCATTTGTTCCCTCGCCCCTGGCGCTGCACGCTTTGGGCCTCCTGGGGGCCTCCTGGGGGCCCCCGCGGCCCTCTGGGGGATCTCTGCCCTGGCGGCCTCCGGGGGGCGCTCAGTCCCCCCCCCCCGAGGAGGCATCGAGAGCAGACAGGGCCTGCAGGCGAGGGCCCGGTCCGCCTCGGGACGGGGTCGAGAGGTCTGGCGCGGCCCGCGCCGCGAGCCCCAGCAGAAGGTCGTGGCGTCTGGCGCCCGGGTCCCCCCTGCCTCTGCCTCCCTCCCTGCGCCCTCCCCCCTCCTCCTCCCCCCTTTTCACTCCTTCTCCCCCCTTCTCCTCCCTCCTTCTCCCCCCTCCTTCTCCCTGCTTCCTTCTCCCCCCTCCTTCTCCTCCCTCCTTCTCCCCCCTCCTTCTCCCTGCCTCCTTCTCCCCCCTCCTTCTCCTCCCTCCTTCTCCCCCCCTGGGAGAAGGCGGCGTGCCTGGGTCCCCCATCCTTCTCCCCCCTTCGCTCCTCACTGCGAGGAGTCTGGGCAAGAGGCGGAAGCAAATACGCTGGCGGGGATGAGGCAGAAGGGCGCGCGCAGGAAACGCAGATAGGGACTGCTGATACTGGGCTTCCACTCGCCCGCTTTGCCGCCCTGGCAGTTGCATGCAAGTGCGGCCTCAGATGTATCTCGGATCCGCCGAATCTGTCGAACAACTATCAAGAAAACGAAGCAAACGCCCCGCATATTGTCGGATCGAAGGGGTCCCGCCCACATGGCCGACTCGAGACACTCTGAACCCATAATTGTTGACGTCTCACTTTTGCTTCCGCCACGTTCTGCTCACCTTCTGCCGGCGTCCGTCTGCAGATCCGCCGCAATCTCGTTTCTGCAGGCTTCCGCCGGTGGCGAAGCCTTTTTGGAACGCCCCCGATGAAAACCTGCACGCCAGGTGCACGTGGCGAGGTTAGAGGCAGACCACTGTCGCGTCATGGTCATTATCCCTCATCTTCTCTCGTCTAGTTGTCCAGGCCGGGGGGAGGGGGAATGGGACTACAAGGAGTAGGAAAAGGAGGGCAAAAGGAATAGCACGCGGGAGAGAGGGGGCCGAGGACGAGACGAGGACGGCGAAGAGGGGGCAGGACACTTCGAAACACCTACATTCTGATCTCGGGGGCGGTAGTTTGGATTTTAGCCGATCTGCCCCTCCTCCAATACTCCTGCCAGTCGATCCCGCAAACTGACATGACAGAGACCGTGCCCGGGGTTCGCGAGCCTCGGTGCACCGAGTCATGCAACGACACGCCAAGACCATAAAGCAAGTCGGTTGAGTCCTCTGTGTAAGATCCAGAATCGCACGCACAAGCTCGACGGGAGTGCTAAGACCTCCCGCAACGACGACGATAAGAACTAGAGCTAATGAGGAATGCTCCCGTGAGCGACGTGGGACCGCCGCGGTTAAACTGTTTTGCTGGCGGAGGAAGACACACCTCGAACTGTCAACAAGGGCTCTCCACTTCGCGCTTCGCGCTGCGCGAAGCGCGAAGTGCGAATAATTTCGCGCTCTCGCGCCGCCTCCCAAGGGAGAAGAGGAGGATGAGGAGGAATCGGGGCCGAACTGCGAAGCGCGAATAACTTCGCGCCCTCGAGGGCGCGCTTGTGTCAAGGAGGTGGGGAGACCAGAACCGCTGGTCTCATTGCCCCAGGTGTGGACGGGGCGAGAGGCGCCATGCCAGCGCCGGCACAGCGGCTCGCGACCTTCCCGCGTCCCAGGGCCCACGCTGTGCAGGCCGAGCTCGCATCGTAGCACTGCCAGCGCCACGCCAAGATCCGAGCGGATGGGGGGGGGAGGAGGAGGAGGAGGAGGAGGAGGAGGAGGAGGAGAGGAGGAGGAGGAGGAGGAGGAGGAGGAGAAGGAGGGAGGGGGAGGAGGAGGGAGGAGGAGGAGGAGGAGGAGGAGGAGGAGGAGGATGATGATGAGGAGGAGGAGGAGGGATGAGGAGGAGGACGAGGACGAGGGGAGGAGGAGGAGGAGAGGAGTAGGAGGAGGAGGAGGAGGAGGAGGAGGACGAGGAGGAGGAGGAGGAGGAGGGGCGCAGACCGCCTCGCCACCACCGGGGGCGCGAGCCCCGAGGTGGTGGTCCAGCTCGACGAGCCCAGGCCCCATAGCAAGCACCAGGGGCCTGCGTCGGAGGGGCCTGCCTCCCCGCTCGCCGGGCCGATCTGCCCTCGCCACGACGACGGGGACCTCCTCCTCCTCCTCCTCCTCCTCCCTCCTCATCCCTCCTCGTCCTCCTCCTCCTCCTCCTCCCTCTCTTCCTCCCCCACTCCTCCTCCTCCTCCTCCACCTCCTCCTCCTTCTCCTCCTCCTCCTCCTCCTCCTCCTCCTCAGGGAGGGCCGAGCGGGGCGGCAGGGCCGAAGGCCCCTGAGGTTCCAAGGCCGCCGCGTCCACGGCGAGGCCCCTCCCGACGGAGGCCCCCCCCCGCGTATCCGGGCGGCTGCTCGGGCACGACGCTGGAGCCCCAGGAGAAGCCTGCATGCGATCTCGAGGATCTCGATGGGTCCTCGAGGATCTCGATCGTCGATCGGTCCTCGAGGATCTCGATCGCAGCTCGAGCATCTCGAGGATCTCGATCGGTCCTCTCGGGCCTTCTCTCCAGACCCCGTCGGGTCACGACGAGTGTTTCTCGCTAGTCGGGCGTCTGGGGGCCCTTGCCCTTCCCGGGCACGACGCTGCAGCCCCAGGAGAAGAGAGGCCGTCGTGAAGCCTGCTTGTCACGCACCCTGCTCGGCTTTCTGCATTGGCCCACGGCTTTCCCATCCTCTATTGCGCACAAGCCGTGCGTCGCCAATGACGTTTCGCTCGCAGCAAAGAGGGGCCCGTCGCTCAGCGAGAGCGCTGAGGCCTGAACGCATCGTGAGCGACCCACGTCCCGCAGGACAATCATACCCGGCACTGAACTTGGGGTCCTCGGAAGGGGCCGCGCTCCCGCTCGTCGGCCTCGAGGGGCAATTCCTCCTCTCTCCTTGCCCCCCTCCTCCTCTATCCTCCTGGACGGGGGTGGGGGCCGCTGTTGAACTAGTGGCTGTGGCTGCTTCGCCGACGCAGCGGGCCGAATGGGCGGCGAGCGCTGCTGACATCTGCCGGCGTCACCGTCCTCGGAGATCGAGGAAGGGTTATTCGGAGAAAGCTCTCGCGGGTCTACCGCATGCCTGGGAGAGGCTCGTGCGTCGACACGTTACATGCACGGCTTGAACTATTCGATCGTTTCGCGTCGACTTGATTTCCAGTTCTGAAGGGTCGTAGAATTAGAACAAGAAGCAGCGCCATACACATAAACTCTTGGCGCGCGGAGCGCCACAAGCTTATGTTGATGGCTTGGTTTTTATTCTCCGAAGAGCGAATGATTCTGCAGGTCTTTGGACAACAGCTGGAGAGATCTGGCGGAGGAGGAGGAGGAAGAGGAGGAGCAGAAGGAGGAGGAGGAAGAGGAGGAGGAGGAGGGATGAGGAGGAGGAGGAGGGGAGGAGGAGGAGGAGGAGGAGGAGGAGGAGGGAGGGATGAGGATGAGGATGAGGATGAGGATGAGGATGATGATGTGATGATGATGCTGATGCTGATGCTGATGGATGATGATTGATGATGATGATGAGGAGGAGGGAGGAGGAGGGATGATTATGATGATGATGATGACGGAGAGGAGGAGGAGGAGAGGAGGAGGAGGAGGAGGAGGAGGAGGAGGAGGGGGAGGAGGAGGAGAAAGAGGAGGAGAAAGAGGAGGAGGAGGGATGATTATGATGATGATGATGACGATGAGGAGGATGGAGGAGGAGGAGGAGGGGAGGAGGAGAGGAGGAGAAGAGGAGGAGAAAGAGGAGGAGGAGGAGGAGGAGGAGGGGGAGGAGGAGGAGAAAGAGGAGGAGGAGGAGAGGAGAGAGGAGGCGGAGGAGGAAGGAGGCGGAGGAGGAGGAGGAGGAGGAGGAGGAGGAGGAGGAGGAGGAGGAGGAGGAGGGAGGAGAAGTCTTTGGACGAAAAGCTGGAGAGATCTGGGTGACACTGGCCGAGCACTCGGGCCTCGGCGCTCCCCGGGGGCCCCGCGCGGCGAGGGGCGGGACATGGGCCGACGGCCTCCTCCGCCTCGATCTTTCCTCGTCCTCGTTGTCCTCCTCGATCTCTCCTCCTCCTCCTCCTCCTCCTCCTCCTCCTCCTCTGCCTCCGCCTCCTCGATCCCTCCCTCGCCCATCTCAGGCTCTCTCTCTTCGATCTCTCTCCTCGTCGTCCTCTTTCTTCGCTTCTCCCCCCCGCCTATCCCACCTCTCCTCGCCACTTCCATGCCCTCCATCGCTGCTTTGCCCGCCCCCCGCGCCCCAGGCCACGATGAGCTCCTCAAACTCTTTGTCGGAGAGTCAGCGCACCGTGGCGCAGACGTGGCCCCCTTCGGCCGCCTGGACGCTGGGGGCCTCCCTCCGATCGGCGGCAAGGCAGGGCCCCCGCTTGGCCAGGCAGCGGCCCTGCTGGGTCAACGCCCTCTCGGCGACGTCGGGGCCCTCTGGGGCCGTCCGCCTCGGCCGCGTCGCCCTGGGAGCCGCTGCGGCCGCCGTCGGGCGGGGGGGCTCGCCCTGCGCTCCGGCGGCTGCTGCGCCGCCGTCGCCTCCTGCTGGCTGCTCCTCCACGTCGTCGTCGTCGCCGTCTCCGCGGGCGCCCGGCGCGCCACCGCGGGCACCTGCCAAGGTCGGCGCCGCCGCCGCGCCGAGTTCCACGATGGCTGCCCGGAGCGGTCCCCCGGCAGCCCGCAACGTGCGCACTCCCGCACGGGAGTGGCGCGCCGCGGGGCCGCTGGCGGCGCGCGCCGCCGGGATCGCCCCGCGGATCGCGTCCGAAGTAGCGCTGGCTCCAGACGCAGGCGGGCAGGTCCGTGCGGGCGCGCAGCGTACATCGGATGGGGGGCGACGCGCGGCGGGGCCCGCGGCGACGCTTGGACCAATGCTCCCATTGGAGGGGAGGGGGACGAGGAACGCAAAAGGATACGGATGATAATGATGCTGCTGCTGCTGATGTTGTTGATGATGCTGCTGGCGATGACGATGATGGTGGTGGTGGTGATGTTGATGATGCTGATGGCGAAGCCGATGATGCTGAAGACGATGACCGCGATTCTGATTATGGTGATGGCGCTGTTGCTGACGATGATGATGGTGATGTTGCTGATGCGTATCGGTATTCGTGTTGTTCGTCTTCGTAGTATTATCATCCTTGGCCTTGGTCCTTTTACCACCAACATTTTACTAAAACCAGTGTTCGTATCATCGAGCGTCCTCTGCTTCTTGTGAGTATTGCGTTCATGATTCAGGTTATGATGATGCAGAATCTGTGGATGGTGGTAATACTGCTGATTATGATGGTGGTACGCAAACCGATGATGATGACGCAGCTGATGCTGATTCTGCTGCTGATGGCGATGGGGACGATGCTGATGATGCTGATGCTGAGTATGCTGAATATGTTTATGATGATGCTGCAGCTGATGACGTTGCTGATAATGACGACGGTGGTGATAATGATGTTGCTGATGATACGTACGCTGGTAATGCTAAGGATGACGAGGGAGAAGAGGATACTGAGGAGGAGGAGGAGGACTAGGAGGAGAAGGAGGAGGAGGAGGAAAAGTAGGAGGAGGAGGAGGAGGCTGGAGCAGGAGGAGGAGATGAGATGAGACGGCGCCTCGGGACGGTCGAGACGGAAGGGGCCAGCCCAATAGCGCACAGCGTGAGTGCGAGCTCACCCAACGCGCGGGCCAGCTCACACCTTGGAGGTGGGTGGAGACACCCCCCAGCCACGACCCCCGGAGAGAAGAGCCCCAGCCGGGGAGGCTGATGGGGGGCTCTCAGGAGACCTGCGCGACCGGGAGGAGGGCGGGCCCCTCTGAGCGGGCAGCAGGGGGACGGCAGGCCCGCCCCCCAACCCCGTTTTGCCAGGCCGGCAACGGCCGCAGCCCAAGCACGGGCGGCCCCAACACGGGCAACCTGACAGAACGGGCAGGGGCCAGACCAACGCCAAACCCACGCCACCCGCCCGAAGACGACGGGGGAAGGGCCGCCGGCCCCGCGTCGAGGCGGCGAAAGCGGGGGGGGATCCCCGCGCCGCCCCGACGGAGCGGGGGGGCCTGGCAGCCCCCCTGGGGAAGGAGACCCCGCTTTGGGGCTGTCACCGGGGCGCGGGGGATTGGGCCCCGAAGGCCCGATGCCCCCCGCCTGCATCAGGGGGATCTTTGGCCCGACACCCCGCTTATGGGGGCGCCCCTCCGAGGGGGAGGAGGAGGAGGATGAGGAGGAGGAGGCGGAGGGGAGGCGGAGGAGGAGAAGAGGAGGAGGAAGAGGAGGAGGAAAAAGGAGGAGGAGGAGGCGGAGGAGGAGGAGGAGGAGGAGGAGGAGGAGGAGGAGGAGGAGGAGCGACCGAGCGAGCAAACTGAGTTCTGAGGGCGGCGGATAATGCTGACGCCTGGGGGAAGGTGGGGCGCCTCAGGAAAACCACGCCCTTTAACTCCCCCCAAGACGAAGTTAGGAGCCTGCGGCCGCTGGGCAGGTGTCGGGCCAGCACGTTGCGATCCAGTGCCTCGTTGGCGGGGGCTCCAGACCACGGCTTCTTCATCTGTCGCCGCGAGCTGGTTGCGTCGGGAAGAAGAGTCATTGGACAACCCGAGACGCCGAGAGCGCAAATGACGGGCGGACCTGAGGGGCTCCGAACCTTTCAAGCTACCGCGGCACAATGGGCAACGACAGAACGAATTCACGCTGAAGACGTCGTGGCCCAGATCAGCGAACTCGGCAAGCACAAATTTGGGAACGCCGACGGGCCCACGGGAAACGCCCCCCTGTGGAGGGCCAGCACCGAAGTCTGCAGGGGGCTCGAAGCCGACGGTGGGCCCCAAATTCCTACCAGCAGCCTCCAGGGCCGCCGCAACCCTGCCATATGGTATCAAGTCTACGCGCAAAAAAAACATCTCAGTCAGGCTGAGGGCCGCGTTCGGGGGGTCACACACTTTGCCCGGTCCTGACCTTAAAGTAGCCCGTGCTGCGGGCGACTCGATTGCACCGACGACACCGGTACTTGTTCATCCTCTGGCAAAACACGAGCGGGTGGTCCTGGGACCTCTCGGAAACGACCGATTTCGGCACAGCCCGCAAATCACCTGACTTACGCGGGATGGTGTCCCCCTTACGTCTGACACCGCACAACCTGACACAACAACAACCCAGGATACATACTGCACAACCTGCCTGTGCTGCTCGAGTGCAGCCGTGACGCTTTCAGCCAGGGCGTTTGGCGCCGTGTGCGAAGACGTGCCCGACTTCCCGAAATAGTCGGCCCAGGTAACGCCAAGCCAGGGCTCCAGCTCCTCGGGCGGCGCATCGGGCAGCAAGTCGCCCAAGCGCCGATGGGCGGGGGCCACTGAAAGTGCAATGGTGGCAGCAAAGGGTCGCAGGCTTGCGCGGCGGAACAAATATCTCGACTCGAACGCGCTTTGGCTTTGCTCTAATCTCAGATTCCAGGGGGCGCCATCACGGGCTAGGGACTTCCGATCGGATTCCAGAGCTCGTGCCCGGGATGTTTCTGGAGGTCCATCGCGATTCAATTTCGTTCAGCACGTCCAACAGTCTGAACCGCATGCGGAAGATGCCCACGTGCAACTTTGATGGTGGGGCAAGTGACAGGGCCCAGCTGGCGGACCGCGGAACGCCTCGGTGGCTTCTGGAGCACGTGCCAGCACTTCTTGTCGGGCGCGCCCTATCGAAGAAGAGCGTGCTCCGGGGGTGCCGCCGAGAGAAACCGCTTTCGCCGAAGTGCGCCGCGCCTGCTCGGGCGCTCTTCGCGCGGCCTTGAGGTGCCCATCTGCCGCGAGAACGATGGCGCCCCGGGGGGCCTCGAAGTCGTGGCTGACGTTGCCCGCGAGGCCGCTGCGGAAGGAATTGGCAAGGCCCTTTTTCTAGAAAGCGACGGATCTCAACGTCGCGGGCCGCCCGAGCATAGAAGGCAGCCGTCTCGTTGAAAACCGCCGCAACTTGGGTGCGCTGGGGCGGCGCGGCTGGACCAGGGGCGCGCGCGCGTTGAAGCGCTCGATATATCTGTCGAGCCGCCTGCGCCCAGTCTGCTAGTGCAGGCTGGCGCTAGGTCCAATTTTGAAAACTGCCATTTGAAACGCGGAGGGCCGTCGAGCCGATTCGCGGAAAGGCCCGGGCTCCGACGCGGTCAAAACGCCGCGCCAGCTCATGGTCAACGCCGCGAAGCGCCGAGTCTCAGAGGCCGGAAGGGGCCCTCGGGACCGCTGATCTGCTCCAATTGAGGACGCAACTCTTCGCCCATGGATGCGGATATCGGGCGCGGCCAACACAATGCCATACTGAAATGGGGGCGTGGCCCGACAGGGGCCCGGCGCCAAGTGGGCCTATCTGTGCCCGCGAGTTGCAGCCGGACATGAAAATGCGGTGGCGGGACCGCGTCGCGCCCGCGTGCAACTACTAGCTCACCATGGGCCCGAGGCGCAAGATTGGCCGCGACATTGAAGTACTCGATGGTGGTCATGCCCTCGCTTGTGACGCATGTGTGTTCGTCGGGGACGTGATGGGCTCCTGCCGTGGTCTCAACCCACTGGTGAACGTTCGCGGCATCAATGTCTGCGCTCCAGCCACCGCCAACAAGCCAGTCGACGCCGAGGGAGTTCCGCGTAGCAGCTCGTTGAGCCGAAACCCAAAGACGAGACCGACAGATCCTGGCCAATGATGCCAATGGGGGAAAACAAATAGACGCTAACCGCGACGGTGCCACACGACGCTCCCTTGTTGATGTGCGCAGCCGCGGCTCGTCCTGGATGATCGCGCGCCCGTCGTCGGGCGCGCCTGCGACCGTCGTCTAGTTCGGTGCCGAGACTGCTGCGCCGCCGAAGTCGGACGTGGAAAAGCCGCCCGCGGTGGCGGAAGGGGCCCGCGGCCCGCGCCGGCCAGAGTCGCCCCCTCGGTTTTGACAGTCACCCCGGCGCCCCTCGACCGCGCGAAACTCTCGCGCCAGCGCGATGGCGCCGCGATGCTCGGCCGAGATATCGAAGAGAGGCCCGCGGCGGGTGGCGTTCGCCAGCGTGGGCTGAATCGCGCGCGCGCGGCCCCCGCGAAGCCCCCGAAGCCCGAGGTGGAACGGCCGCTCCTGGCCGATTTGATTATTGAGACCGCGATGTGATGAAGGTGGGGGCAGGGGGGGCGCCGAGGTAGCGCCGCGGAGCATGTCCTCGCGTTCCTCCTTCTTGAGGACATCGGCCTCCTCGCCCAGCGTAGTGGCTTGACGTGCAGGGCGCGTCTTTGCCCCCTTAGTCAAGGAGGGAAAGTGAGAGATTGCTCTGGTGCTCTGGCGGGTCCGCGGGGAAGGCCCCCGACCCCGTCGGCCGAGGCCTCCGCGGCGCAGGCCGACGCGCGGGCAACTGCCGCCGCCGCAAGGGTTGTCAACGCACCCCTACTACCTGGGCCAGGGCGAGGGCGAACCCGATGCGGAGCACGCGGCCGCGATGCCCGTGGGTCCCCGGGGGCCCCCGACCCGACATATGACCTGCCGCCGCTTCAAGAGTCGTCAGAGTGCCCGCCGTAGCCGCGGGTCTCGACCCCGAAGAGGCCGAGCCCGATGTAGGGCAATTAACCAGTGCGCCCGCGGGTCCAGGGGGAGGGCCCCCGACCCCGTCGGCCGCGGCCTCCGCCGCGCAAGCCGACGCGTGCGAGAGCCGCCCCCGCTGGAGTCGTCGCTGCACCCCCAGTAGGTAGCCGTGGCTCTGGGCCAAGTAGTTGCCGAAGCCGAAGCCGAGGAGGGGGCCGTCGGACTATGCCGTGAGCCATCGGGCTATCTGCATTGGGGCTTGCCATGGCAATCTGCCAGAGGTAACCAAGGGCAACAGCGCAAACGCGCAATCTGAACGCCCATGCAGTCCGAGGCTCCTTGGAGCAGGCTACCGAGTGAGAGCCCTGCGACCCGTTCACCGACAGGAATGCCAACGGCGCCCAGCGAGGCCGTGAGGACCTGGTAAGACATCGCCACATCTCCACGTGAAGCTTTCAGCCACGCCGACAGGCTAAGCTGGCTCTGGAGGCGTGGTAGGGCAGGCGCTGCAACTTCTCGACAAGTGTGGCCATGCCCTCAAAGCTCTCGCGCCGTATGCGCACCCAGCTCCGAGCTGCTGGCCACCGTGCCATGCTGCTCCGCACTCGCTGCACATCCAAGTCGCAGGTCAGCCAGATTCGGTTCGGACTTACCGTGAGGGGACCGCGCGCGAAACATGGCGATGCGGGTCTCCCGCTCCAGTTGCTGCACCTCGGTGCTAGACTCCTGCAGCTTGACGCCCATGTCAGCCAGGCCGTGGAGCTCGGCAAGCTTCTGCTGCTGTTCGGCGCGTGCAGACTGGATGTTGGCTTACCTGGCTCGGGCAGCCGACATTCTGGAATCCAGAGACCTGGCCTGGTCCTCGATCGGGCGGTCGTGGAAAAACTCCGGCTCGGGGCGAGCACGCCCCGCGCGCCACTTGGCCACGGCAGCTGCATCCGCAGGATCAGTAGTAACTTGCAGCAGCTGGTCGAACGTCGTGGTGCGTTGTCTCTTGACGCTGCCGCCGTCCGTCTGCGTTGCCCCAGGGAGAGAAGCACCTGCTGCTGGAGGTGTCGGACGGAATTCCTGGAGACGCTTGAGTCGGGCCTCCAGCTCCTTGTACTTGGTCGCCAATGTCAGCTTCTTGGCTGAGGCGATGGAGTTGGCGTCGCGCTTGCTCTCCTTGGCGCACTTGGAATTGTGCATCTGGCAACGCTTGCAATGCAATAGACCGCATCTCCCGCATTGAACTCTGGTAGGCCTGTGGCGTCGTAGCTGCCGCCGACCACAACTACAATACCACAGCATAACTACAGTACACCCTGCGACATGCTTAAGAAATCATGGGTTAAGAAATTCATAATCTCAGGATTTGAGGAAAGACCGAGGATTTTTATTGAAAGCTTAAGATTTACCTTGAAACATTAAGAATAATCGAGGCTCTGGCCGAAAACTGGAGTTTTCTTAAGCATCGCCTAGGGTGTACCACGGCTTGACCATTGTGCCTGCGATGAACAGGGCGAGGAGGGTCCACTGAATCCACGGGCCCGCGCTCGGCCTGGCCGTGGCAGATTGGAGGGACATGCTGCGTGGGGCGGGTTACGCAGCACTCGGCCTGAGGCGGACCAGGCGAATCACAACACCTAGCCGCGGAGTAGCGGTATCCGCTTGTTTCACTCGGAAGCTCAAAACCTTGAGCCACAATGTCTGAGGAGGAGGAGGAGAAGAAGGATGAGGAGGAGGAGGAACAGGAGGAGCAGGACCGATGGGGGCGGACGATGTTGTTTTACAGGCCTCCTGGGGGGGCCCTCGTCGCCATAGCTGGATTCGCCACCGAATCCGGGTGGCACCGCACTTCCGGCGAGGTGGTGACTGGTTATGTAGACGTGGGGGAGGAAGACAACGCGGAGGAGAATTTGGAGGACGAGGACGAGGACGACGACTGATAGGGAGGCCGAGCCAGCCTGGCGCTCCATCAGGCGGTGGTCGAGAGCCTCCTGCAGCTGGATCACGTCCAGGCGGGTGGCGGGCCCGCTGCTGACGTACTGGCTGTAGTGTTTTCCCTCCTGAGGCCGTTGGGGCACCCAAGGTCCGGCCGATCCTCCTTCTCCTCCTCCTTTTTACGTTGCGCAAATTTTGAGCGAGCTCTTAGCATCGTGCATCATGAATCTTACGGGTGAGCAGCGGAAGAGCCGAATGACAACCACATGCAACTCAAAAAGGTGTGACCGTGTGCCAGTAGGTGGGACGAGAGCCGCAGGAAAGCGGAAACATAATAAACTCACAAGGGAGCTTAGCCAGGATGCCCTGACGGAGTAGGCACACGCAAGGTAACTCCCACCCACCACCAACTCATCTACCCCAATCCTTTCCCAAGTCAAAGCCCTCACCGAGGGACAATACGGCAGATGCTGAATACAAGCCCTCAACGAGGGGTTATGTATAAATCTGTTGGCAACGTTCCTTCTCCCTCCTCTTCTGCCTCCCCTGCATCAACTTACACCTCCACTTCATGATAGTACAATGCTCTAAACATTAATCGGAAATGGCAAGGCCAATGTAACCATGCCCTTGCAACAACGATGGGCCGATGTAGAGATGCCCGTGTCGTGCGCAGCGCTACTGCTTCACGGCCAGCCAGGCCCGTGTAAAGATGCCCGTGATCATGCCCGCCTTGAAGGTCAAGTTCAATATCTTTCCGTCCAACTCCGTGTCTCCTCATCCTCCTCTAATCGTGAATCCCGTACCTCCGCTGCCTTCTACACTTTTCAACACATCGGTGGCAAGGCAGCACTCACAGATAACATAAACAACTTTTCTATGCTTCAGCTGGCGTCGGCAAGTTCAGCTCTGAGGCTTAGCTCTGGCGGTCAACTCACTCGCAACGGTCGACTCGCGCGCCTCCTCCGCTTCCGCCTCTAGCATCCTAAATCCTAGACTTCCGACGCCACAAAGTCCCAGTAACAGATACGAGGCAGAAGCTTGAGATACGCGGCTGAAGCAAACGCATGCGTAAACTACATGGCAGTGGTACTAGGCTGTAGCGAGATACGTGGCTGAAGCTCGAGATACGCCGCTGACCGTCCCATCTGTCCACTCCTCTCCTCCTCCTCCTCCTCCTCCTCCTCGTTGGGTGCCCTCACCGGTGGTCGTCGCTTGAGACTGCGGCCTCGTGATTTGATGCGCTCTTTTGGGGTCTTCGCCGAGAGCCGAATCGGTCAACACGCTCGCAACGGTCGACACGCACGGTGTGTTAGCGTTCATAATCCAGCCTCCTCCATCACAAACCTAACCTGTTCTCGGCGAGTGCCCCCTCGCCAAAGGGCAGAACAACTGCGACCCGTTGTCGCAAACAGAAAGCTATGCGCGAACTGCTGAACTGTCCCCCAGGCCCACCTCCACCATCCAATCCTCCCCCTCCACGCCTCGGGCACCACGATTGGTGGCAGAAAGAAACGGCCTGCCATGTACGCAAATCAACTAAGAAATGCCGGCTGCATGGTCTGCCTTGGTGCCCACGTGCCTCCAGGGCCCACCACCACGGCCAGGAACATGGAGGCGGAGCAAACCGAGGAACGGGGCTACACTCAGCCGCTGTTCGTCTCGGGCGCCGCTGCGCTCGAGCATACACTGCAACGCCAAGGTGATCGGTCCACACCAGGTTGCAGGGACAACTACCGAGCGCTCGCAATGAATGCCTTCTACTCCCCCAACTCCTCCTCATCCAGTCCTCCCCCTCCCTACGTCTCGGGAGCAAATGCTGATTGCAAAAAGGAGGGCTGCCTCCCATACGCTGAAAGCAACTGAGAGGTGCAGGCTCCATGGTCCATGGAGGCGGAGCGGACCGAGGAACGGGGCTAAACTCAGCCTCTGTTCGTCTCGGACAGCCGAAACGGTGGAACATACACCACAACATCAACGGGGTCGGTCCGCAACAGGTTGCAACATAAACAACCCGGCGCCCACCATGAATGCCATCTCCTCCTCCTCCTCCTCCTCCTCCTCTCCCTCCTCCTCCTCCTCCTCCTCTTCCTCCTCCTTCTCCTCCTCCTCCTCCTCCCTCCTCCTCGAACCTCAATCTTTTTTTTTTTGTTTCTCTCTCTCTCTCTCTCTTGTCGTCTCGGGTCCATGGTTTGCCCCCGTGGCCACGTGCCTCAAATGCCCACCGCCACGGCCAGGAATGTGGTGGCGCAGCGGACCGAAGAGCGGGGCTACACTCAACCGCTGTTCGTTTCGGGTGCCGTTGCACTCGAACATACAACACAACATCCACGTGCTCGGTCCAACGCGGGCTGCTGAGGAAACAGCAGAATGCCCGCGAATCGACAGCCTGTGCTCCTCCACCACTCTATGTATCGGGCAGCAGAACTGATGGCCAACATTTTTCCAGCGCAAGCGCCTGATGATGGGAGCTGCCAGCGTCCCAACCGATGGGTAGAGGACTCCACCATGTAGGCCCAGAGAAGGCGATCGGGACCAGATCCCGAGCAGTGCAGAGTGGTGGCCAGGCCCGCCCGTTCGAGAGACGAGGCAGAGACCCAAACGGCGAGAGGACAGGCAGGCGGAGCAGAGAGGACAGAAAAGGCGGGGAAGGCCACCGGGCAAGGCAGAGAGACAGACAGCAGCTGTTTAGGGAACCACACCCAGGACAAGGAGGCGGCGGTCAACCCAGAAACTTGAGCAACGCACCTACTGGCACTGCGCGAGCAGCGCAACCTGAGGTGCACTCGCACATGGGGTTGGACTGCAGATTTCTGCGCCCGCGCCATAAAAAAACATCAAAATGGGCGTGGCAATCTTGCGCTAGTCAATGGCGCCTGAACGGGTAGAAGGTGGAGGAGGGAAGGGAGGTGGAGGAGAGGGAAAGGACGGGGAAATCGCACGACCCCAATCAGTGCGAAAGCATCATGGATAGCAACAGTAGCCGTCTCAAAGGCAGGTGGAAGCCGATGGGCGGTTGGAGACGGGCACAAATGTGCTGGCCTTCCAGTGGCTCCGGGGTTGTGCACTGAATTCGGGAGGGGGAAAGAATGGCAGAGGAAGGGTGAAAGCGCACTCCTGGCGAGTGCCCCAGGCCTCAACGGCCTCGACTGCCCCGCCGGCCAGGCTGCCCCGTGCGGGCTCGGAGGCCACTGCCTCAGAAGCTCCCTCCGCGGGGGGGGCACAAACCCGAGGAAGGCAGAGTACCGCAACAGCAGCAGCCAAACCGCAACAGCAGCAGCAAGAGGAGGGGAGGGGAGGAGAAGGAAAGGGGAGAGAAGCGGACCCTCGCCCACAGCGGGTGTGGGGCCCCCTGGGGGGGCGGTGGGCGGACAAATCGTGCCCCCCCCTGCCGAAATTCTGACCAAAGAATTCTAGTGAGAGTCCTAACTACAACGTCCATGCTATGCAGCGCCGGCCCACCCCCCCACCGCTCCAGCCGAGCGTCGCAAGGAACTACCTGCCCTCCAGGCGGCCACCATGCAGGGCTGGGCCGAATGACGCCGGAGCAGGGGAGAGAGGGAGGGAGGGAAGGAGAGAGAGGCGGAATCACAACCCCGGTGCGCCCAGCTCACGATAGCGGATGGGCCGGTACGCTTGGAGCGTTGGCTTCTCGACCCTGGTGAACCTGGTGTCCGTCGTTGTGCTCGTGGTACGCGCCGGACTGCACCTCGTACCAGTAGGAACACACACACACACATGCACGCACGCACGCACGCACGCACGCACACACACACACACACAACACACACACAACACACAACACACACAACACACATAACACACACACAACACACAGAACACACACACACACACACACAACACACACACACACACAACACACACATACACATACACATACACATACACACACACACACGTATGTGGGGAAAAATACACAGTGGGGGAAAAAACGCACTGTGGGAAAACAGCGCACCGTGGGTAAAAACACACACACGTGGGAAAAACACACACAGTCTGTAGGACAAAAATACACTCTGTGTGTGTTTTTCCCACAGTGTTTTTTTCCCACAGTGTGTGTGTGTGTGTTTTCCCACATGTGTGTTTTTCCCCACAGTTTTTTCCCACGTGCTGCTCGTGGAACTCGCCGTGTGACTCGTGGCACACATAAGCTGCTTATCGCGAGAGCGATCGCGTCGATCTCGGACTGTGGGCGCCCACCTGCGGGCGTCGTGGGCGTCGCGCTGCAGCCGACCGGAGCTGGGTCCTGCTCCCAGGCTCGGGCCAGCGGCTCCTCCTCCTCCTCCTCCTCCTCCTCCTCCTCCTCCTCCTCCTCCCCTGCACCTCTTCCTCCTCCTTCTCCTCCTCCTCCTTTTCCTCCTCCTTTTCCTCCTCCTCCTCCTCCTTCCTCCTCCTCCTCCTCCTCCTCCTCCTCCTCCTCCTCCTCTCCTAGAAGAACATAACATTTTTGGATCGGCGCTGGGCCCCCCAGCGGCGCCTCCAGCGCCGCCCCTGCCGCGCTCCGCGCGACAGGGAGGGGAACCAAGCGCAGATCCAAGAAATCCGCGCGGAGCTCCGAAAGTTTATGCTCACGCAGTCTTTTCTTCTTCGACTCCCTGCTGCTGCTGGCGCACTGCGCCCGGCGCACTTGGGCCCCGGCGCACGGCGCGGGAGGCATGTTCTGAGACTTCCTCCCTGGAACATGCCTCGAGGATCTCTCCGGCGTAAGATTGGAGGATCCCGCCAGCCTATGATTGGAGGATCCCGCCGGACACGAGGCCAGGATTTGCTCCGAAACAGGTGGCGGCTCAATAATGTTCAGCGGCAGCCTTGGCTGGCGCAAACACCTGGCGGTTGGCGGTGGCGTCCCAGCGGACGGCCATGGAAGTAACGCACCTGGGACTACCTTTGTTTTTTTTGTGCCCCCCGCCCCATAACACCTGATCTATCCCACAACGTGGGATAAGGCTCGCGCGGGGTCGAAACAGGTGGCGGGTCAAAATTTGATCAGCGGCAGGCATGGTTGGCCCAAACACCTGGCGGTTGGCAGTGGCGAGCTCGTGGAATGCTTCGGAAGTAAAGCTTATGGGGCTTCCTTTGTCCTTCTCTGTGCTCCCAACCCTACCCCCTCATCTATCCCGCAGCATGGGATACGGCTCGCGCGGAGTATGTTCAGTCTCGGAGTCGAAGCTGTGCATGTTGGTTTTGGGCCCACATTTGCAGGGATCCCGCCTCAGGAGCGGAAGCCATCGCGGACGGCACCGTCTCTCGGGATGACCCCCTCCCTGTGGCCCTTCTCTCGGCGAGGACCGTCAATAGGCCTCGTCGGTGAGGACCGTCATCAGGCCCCCCACCCCTCGCAGCTTCCATCAATGGGGCTGCGGGGTCTCCGCTCCCACCAGTCAACCCTCCATTTTGCCGACGCTAGGCATCAGAGGAGGCCGAGGACCCCCTTGCGGTCCCTCGGCCAACGAAGACGGCCGCAGGGGGGAAGGGCCCGTACCTCCACTTCAAAGAACACATGTGCCACCACCTTACATCACAGGCGTCAGTTGCCACCCACCACTCCTACCCTCCTCCTCCTCCTCCTCCTCCTCCTCCTCCTCCTCCTCCTCCTCCCACTCCTCCTCTTCTACTCATCTGCCTCGTCGTCCTTGTGGTCCTCCGTCTCCCCAGACATGCGATGTCCTGGCATTTTCTATACGGGGTTCCTGGAAGTCGTGGGCTGGCTTTCATCCCGAGCCGTTTTTTGACCTCCCCGGGCCCAGCGAGGGCCCCCGGAGGCCGAAAACGGCCAAAACACATCCAGTCGCGCTTTTTTCCAGGACGCGAGCGTGCCTGGGTCGTTCGTTCTCTGGATCCTCATCACGAAACTCGCTGCGACGACGACGACTTGGCCCCAAAGCGCCCATGTCCTCGATCCACTCGCGAGGCGGCAGCAGCGCGTGGAGCACATCCTCGGTCGACGGCTTGGACTCGACGGGCGGCAGCTGCGCCCTCTTCGCCAACTGCGCCTCGGTGGGTGGGGGGGGAGGGATCCTGCTCCAGGGTCCCGTCCCTGCTCCCTCCCCCCTCCTCCTCCTCCTCCTCTCCTCCCTCCTCCTCCTCCTCCTCCTCCTCCTCCTTCTCCCTCCTCCCTCCTCCCTCCTCCCTCCTCCGTCCTCCGTCCTCTCTCCTCTCTCCTCCCTCCTCCCTCCTCCCTCCTCCCTCCTCTTCCTTCTCGTCCACCTCCTCAGCCACATCCTCTTTCTCATCCTCCTCTTCCACCTCCACCTCCTCAGCCCAGAAGGCCCCGACGTCGCCGAGATGGCGCTGACATGGCAGGACCGCAGCATGGCCAAGCGGGATCCGACACTGCCGCCGGCCGGAAAGAGGCCCTCATTGTCCAGGCGGTCGAAGTGGGCTACGCGCCCCAGCTCCTGGCGTTGCATCTCTTTCGCGCCAAGCGTTTTCGCCCGGCTTCGGGCCCCAGGAACCTTTCGGTTCGGCCCGGCTCGGAAAATGCCTCAGCAAGATTGGGTCCAGGGCGATGTTGTGTTTTTTTTCGCAACGTCGGATCTTAAAGGGGGGGAGGGGGAGGAGGAGAGAGAGAGAGGGAGAGAGAGAGAGAGAGAGAGAGAAAGAGAGAAAAGAAAAAGAGAGAAAGAGAGGAGGAGGAGAGGGGAGGAGGAGGAGGAGGAGGAGGAGGAGGAGGAGGAGGAGGGAGGAGGAGGAGGAGGAGGAGGAGAGGAGGAGGAGGAGGGAGGAGGAGGAGGGAGGAGGAGGAGGAGGAGGAGGAGGAGAAGGGGGAGGCAAGGAGGAGCAGAGGGATGGAGGAGGCAGGATGGGGAAGACTGTATCTCTCTTGTTTTTCCTCCTCCTCCTCCTCCTCCTCCTCCTCCTCCTCCTCCTCCCTCCCTCCTCCTCCTGGCGCGTGGCCGATGCGCGCGATGGATCATCCTGGGTGCTGGTGCCCAGCATGTGCGAGGCGCAAGTGGGCTGCGCGGACCTGCGGCAAGAGTGCGCGGGCCTCGTTGGGCCTGATGCACGGGTCTTCTCCCCCCCGTGTGAATCGACGACCGAAGGTTATTTAAATAAGAAAAGCAACGCTTGGAAAATGTATAAGAATCAAGGGGGCCGAAGCGAGCGATGGGGCGCGCGGGGAGAACGCGCCCTAACACCGAGGACACGAGGACGAGTATGTGGGGGCACAGGAGATATCGCATCCGAGAAGGCAACGAGACCCGCATCCTTGAAATCTAGCTTCCGTGGTCCATCCGCCCACCGCCTTTTTGATCCAGCCAGTGGCCCAGGTATGAAGGCCGCTGCACGGCCCAAGACTCCTTTTCGGGGTCGCAGGCGTCGCGAGATAGCGCCGCGGACAAGCGACTTTGCCACGCCTGCTCGGCGAACATATTTTGCGCCACCTTGGCAACCAAACGCCGCGTCGAAAGCAAGCAATATCACCCTTCAATTAATTGAAAAAAACGCGCCTGACGTTGCGGCGCCTCTCGCGCGCGGCCTGGCTAGCAGAGCAAGGGCAACCGATGCCGGCGCCAAAACAAACGCACTTCGTCTGCATCTGCGCAGCTGTCGCGCGGCGACGCGCGGCCGCGCGGCCGCGCGGCGGCGCTGGCGGGCCCCGCGCGGTTAATCAGAACCGAAAAACGAAATGACGCCACGCGCGATGTCGAGTTGACCCCCCGACGTCGGGACGCGATGTTTGTTGTTCGCGCGAATGCGGCCTCGACGCCGCGAACAAAGCGTTTCGCGCGCGCCGCGCCGGGCAGGTTGGTCGCGACCTCCCAGGCGGAAGAGGTCCGAGCATTGAGGGCCGAGGAGGGAATAAACCATGCAAGCGCTGCCACAAGCGACAACGAGAGAAAACTCAGCCCAAGCCCGCTCGATAGGCAGTGGCATGGAACGAAACGCAGCGGGCCGGGGCAAATTGGCGAAGGAAGCGGGCGCAAACGGGGGGGGCCTGGGCCTGGGCGACCTGCGCCCTGAGCGCCAAGGGAACTCGTGGACCCGACGGCGCGGCGCGAGTGAAGCTCATCAACGGGGGGAAATTCACTCGCCGAAACGGCGGGGGCATCGCCGCAGCCATTCCGAGGTCGCGAGATACCCCGTCGCGACGCGTCTTCCGCCGCAGCGCGTGCGGCTCGCGCGCGGGCGAGCGCGCGCGTTCGCGCGAGCACAAAAACTCGCTCGCGCGCGCATGAAATCAACGCCGCGCGCAGTTGTGCGCGCAATCCGTTTTTTGCCCGCCGTTTTTTCCGACGGCCCGACGCGCGGCGCCATTTGTCCCCACTTGTCATCACTTTGTCACCACTTTGTCATCACTTTGTCCGCAACAAAAACGCGCGACAACCCTATTTGTCATCACTTTGTCACCACTTTGTCATCACTTTGTCATCACTTTGTCGCAAGGTTTGTCTCCGTTCCCCTTCCAAGCTGCGAAACCCCAAATGTTTCCTTCCGCGCATCGATCTGCGGCCCGTTCAGGCAATGCCGCGCCAGCAACCGCGGGGTCAACGCTACAAACGCAACGCGCGATCTGCGCGTTTGCTGAAACTGGCCTGATGTCGCGCGATGCGGTTTGCCGCCGCGCCTCCAGCCAGCTGGAAAACTCGGGAATGAATTCGCGTCGTTCACGCCAATGCAGCCCCGCTGGGGTCGTCTGGGACCCCCCCCCCCAGCCTGCGCCCGCGCGCGCCCCCCCAGCGAGCCTTGGCGGCGCAAGCTTCAAACCCGCTCCGCGACCCCCTCGCGGGACGCCTGATTCAAATGCGACGCGGTCGGGGGTGCCCTTGCGACCTCAAGCCACTGCAGGCTGCTCGTAACCTTTTCTCGCTCGGTCCCCCGCTGCGCGCGCTCGCCCCCCCGCCCGCTATATCCCCCCAATTCCCCCTCCTTCCCGCCCCTGCCCCCGCCCCCGCCCGCCCCCGCGGGGCCGGCGGACGGGGCGGGCCGCGCCCCATACATCGCATTGCATTTTGCACCCGCGCCGTTGCATTGCATCGGCAGACGCTGCGTTGAACTGGGCGCGGCGCCGCCGCGTGTTCGGCGCGTCTCCGCCCGATGCGTAGCGCGCCGTGCCCCCGTTCCCGTTCCAGCGCCTGCTTTGTATCTCGTTTCATCCGCGCAGCCGACGCGGGCCCCGCCGGCGCCCCGACCCCTGCGCCCCGAATGCTTCTTCTCGTGCAGATGTTCCGCCTCCTGTCTCGGCCTTGCCTCGGGGCGACGCCGCTGGCCGCTCGGGGGCTCGCGCGACCCTGGCGACGACGGCGGTGGAACTTCAGGGAGCTCGAAGCCCGCCGACGCACGGGGCTGCGCGCGGCGCGAAGCCAGGGCCGACGACGCGGGAAATAGATATTTTTACGGCGGGTCTTGGGGGCAACAACGGCCCTCATAGGCCCAGGGACCTGGGAGATTCCGACAGCACCCTGGGCCGCGGCCAGTTGGATGCCCCGGATCACACGGGCACGCTCGGGGAACCAAGAGAAAAGACGAACGCGGAAAGTGAGGTGGGGCCTGGGAGTAAACAGAACGGTCTGCAGCTCACGGGCGAGCACTCGCTGGAGCTTAGCTTTGGGATCCGCCAGAAACTTCGCGCCCTCTTCGCGCGCGCGGCGGCCCGCTTCAGCCCGCGCGGGGCAGCTCGGTAATCCTCGCGCCGCCTCTCGGAGCGCCCCGACCAGAAGCTCCGGGTCCCAGAAGAGGGGGGTGATCTTGCCGCGACAGAGTTGCACAGGCGGGAGTTCTGCGCCTTCAACCTCGACGCGTCAGAGCGGCGAGATTCGTGATCGGTCCACTCTGTATGGCTGGTCCTCCCCGCGATGAGAGATTGAAGAGATCAGCTCGTGAGAGCGCGCAGTTTGGCGCCGAAAGCACCATGGCCAGACGCGCGTGCTCTAGGGGCGCAAGGAAGTGAGGCAAATGCAGGTGCTGGCTTATATAAGAAAGAGCTGTGATCGCACGCTCATCATGCGCAGAGACCGTTACAGCCTGCGGGTCCCATCGAGGCCGCGATCGCCGAGGTTCGATTATCGTATTTCAACGGCGGCGCAGGCCAGGGCTCTCCCATGGCCGATGGGCCTGAGAGGGCCCCGAGGTATTTTGCCCGCTGGCGCGCGCGAAACTCGGCCCACTCGGGGAGCTCTGTTCGGAGCCACTCCTTCATTTCTTCAATGACCTCTGGCGTGCATGCGCTGTAGAGCGGAACTGAGCAACATTTCTATCTCTTCAGAACAGGATGCAATGTGACGGGCAGCGCGGAAAAAATCAATGGCCATCAGCTTCAGAACCGTTATCTGAAACAGGCAGGCACTCACGTCGTCAGCACAAGCACAAGCTTTGACTCCCCCTCGGCCTGGGGCCACAACGAGATGGCGGAAGTGACGGGGGAAAGGGTGAGAAGCAATGGAGTGGGGGGTACCTAACGCTGGGCACTCTTGGGTGACGCCCGAAGAAACCACGACGCCTGTCCGATGCATGCGACGCCTGTCCGATGCATGAGACGCAGTCGTAGATCGATCGGAGGGCGGAGGGGCAGGGGCGGATGGGGGTCCGGGCAAGAGAGGGGGCGGAAGATCCAGGATTGGGCGATCGAGCGGGCGCCTGACCAAAATCGAAGCCCGCGAGGGCTGGTTTCCGCACGTCGGCCCACGACTTCAAACCAGCGATGCGGGGCGCTGTGTCCAGTTCCAAAATGTTGAAACCAAAATTTCTCCCAGGGGTGGATCCTCCCTGGCCGGCGTCCACTATTTCAGGGAGGCGCTTAGAAAGCCCCGAGATGCAGACATATGTTAAAATCTGCGCGTCGCTCTTTTTCAAACCCAGCGGGCGGGTCTGCATGGCTTCACATGAAATCAGTCCCTGTCCTCCTCGGCCTCCTTCGGGGTCCACGCGCCTCTGAGGTCGTGGAAGCCGAGCGGCATCGGTTGCCCTGCCAAACGCCAGCGAAGCGCCTCTTCTAAAACTTGCGCTCCCTGTGGATGATACCTCCACGCCATGTGACGAGACGCGTCAGGGCCAGCGGCATTGGCGGGGGCTCGCATCGGCTTGAATTGGATCGATCTCGCGTCGGGCATCGGGAGGTCTAAAAGGCCCCCCATCGGGAGCAAATCGCGACAAACACTGGTCGGCAGCGGTCTGGTCGACCTCCTTCGCGCGAAACGCGGGGGCCCAAGCCTGCGACAATTCAATTGGCATTTCCTCAGGGTTCGTGGTCTTGTGGTTGCCAGCTTTAACCCCCTGGAGG